TCAGGGTTTACATAGAAAAATGGTTACAAACAATTATCTGATGTATAAAGCTATTTATACTACATCATTAATGATGTACCCAGCTCCCTTCCTCTGAGCTTAGGTACAGATACAGGGAAAGTAACAACTTAATGAATAGTCATAATATATTGCCTTTTTGTGGAAATCCCTGGGATAAGCCACTTCAGTGAGAAATGAGATAGAGTGGTTGGTCATCTGCTCCAAATTAAAGATGACTAGCTGAGAAGGAAAATTTGTGCCATGTCCTCAGAGTATATTCGCAGTTGCAGTATTACCTCTGGATACTCCATGAGTTATTGTGTGTTTATACACTGCCCCTAAAACAGGGCTGTAAAAATCCTGAGGAGACCATAACTGAATGTGTCTACATGAGATGCCAAATGTTCAGTAGACTAATCTACTGCACATTAGTGTGTCATGGTAAAAGCCATGGTAATGCACTAACACACAGTAGAATTAGTGTATTGAACATTGGAGTCACGGAAAAGGCACATGCCAGTGCTACTGTGCAGTACTGCTGGTTACTGTACATTGAGTTAGTACCTATTATTACACGTACTAAACTTAATGCACAGTAACTATGGCACATGAATGCACATATAAACGTGGCCACTGAACATCTGAATCCCCTATTTTCAAAATAATCTTTTTTTTCTTCTTCCTTATTGCAGATTTATTTACTGAATGGCTTAGTTTCATCTTGCAGGGAGCAGGCCTCAAACTGCATCAGAGAAAATTAAGACCTTTCTTACTATGAGGATGGATAACAGTAGCAGAACCAGGAACACGGGAAGGGAGGTGAACCCTCCCACCACCACCACACATAATGCAGGTTGTGCTGCACAGGTACAGTGAGCTCTGAAAGGAGTATGGGCTCCTGCCAGAGCTCTGTATGAGTAGTGAACTCTGAGCTTACCAGCTGATTGGGGTGGGGTCTGGATATAGCCCCTACTTTTATGTAGTTCCAGACCTGGGGGGTGAACACTGAATACTGCTGCTGTTCACTCTTCCCATCCCTCCCCATCTTGCTGAATTCAGCAGCACAGGCCAAAGAAGGGATAAGTGGCAGCAGCAGCATTCAGCCTCTGGGCTTTAGTCACACAAAAGTAGGGAGTTCAGCCAGATCCCCTGCTGAGAGCTCTTGTGTAGCACAGCTAGTCTGATTGTGCCACTGGATTTGCCCCTAGAGGATTAAGCATTGGAACAGGCTACGTAGAGAGGTTATAGGATCTCCATCCCTGGAAAGTTTCAAGAACAGGTTAACCAGACTTGACTGGAATGGCTTAGTCAGGGATGATCCTTGAACAGGGTGCAGGACTGGAACTCCACGAGGTCCCTTCCAGTTCTATAATCTTGATATGTGGGAATTATAAATACATACCTCTATGTGCTGATGACATCTGGACTGATATTTGTTACCTGCTAATCACATTTCCACAGATTTGTGAAGATGTTTCCTTATAAAGAATTAGATTTGTTTTAGAATCTATTCTGTAGAACCAACCCAATCTGTCAGTTTCTGTATTGACAGCTCCTACTTAGCATTAAGATTTTAAGAGCATTCATGTTTCTTGTGGCGCTGTAATAATTAGTCTTCAGAAATAGAACAAAGACTGACAGCGTCTCTGAGAGGAAGGGATGGCCAACAGGTTTGATTAATTGGAGTTTGATCAAATACTGGGTAATTGTTGTTTACAAACCATATTAAAGTATTTGTTACATCAGGGTATGTTTGGAAAACAGACACAGCTCCATTATAAAGTCAGGAGAGTTTTTCCCAATTACTGTATCTGTACTAAAATTACAGATGAACCCAAGCTTCAAATTTCAGCTCAAGTTCAGCAGCCTTGGAAATTCATTCTTCTATTGAAATGTAGTTTTGCTTCTCCCTGTTATGAAGATGCAGTTCAGATCTGAATTGCCCTGTACTGTAGGGTGTCTGGATGTAGCATTTGCATCAGGTTTTTTAATTAGGTTTAATTTGGTTCAATCTTAATTAAAATGAACCAAAAGTGAGCATTGGAACACAGTAGGTGATATTTAATTTTTTTATCTTACTGGAGCAATGTCCATCCAGTATCTTCCTTGTTTCTTTTATGATATTAATTTTAAGTAGTATGCAAACTATTGTATGTGTACTGCTGAGCCAGATTCGGTTTGGCTCAGACAGTTTTTAATTGGATTTCAGTGTGGTGCTGAGAAATGGCTCAGATTGGAGGTAAATGTGATGTTACTTCATATTTGATCTCTACTAAAACTGTATTTGAGCTATATAGAACTGTATTTTTCCGAAACTAATATTTCTTGGTAGCTCTTTAAACTGGATTGCCTGCTTTATATTATGTTTAGAAAAACGCAACAGGACACAGAAGTTATTTCCAGTTTATTGTATATTCTTATGACAGAGCAATTGCCCAGTTCCTATTAAATATTCATGTAGATCTTCATAGTTTTGCACTGACGTTGGTTATGTTTATTCACTCTTGCAGGATTCCAAGTGCTTGAGACAAAGATGTGCAAAAGCCTTTCCTTTTGCTTTCTTGCTTGACTGTACACTATGTTCATGGGGGGCTCGTCAACCAGTGAGCAGAGACAAGGTTCTGTCTCTTCTTTCAGCATATGCTGAACGTAATTAGGCACCATCCCAGAAAAGGCTTTGTAAACATTCTGAATCCATGCCACATTCTTCCAGTCTCAGAATCTGCCAAATGCCTAAATGCTGTATTCAAGCCAGATGTCTAAATATATCAAATGAATGGTTGAACAAAATGCCTCCCTGGTAGAGCATATGCATGTAGGATGGACAGACCTGGAGGGGCTCACGCTCAGTTCCAGAACATGATGTTCTGCCAACCTGTATTCCCTGCTCACAAGAAGAGAAACCAGAGTACAAGCTCTTCTTGGTGAGCTGCCTGGGGATAAAACTATTCTTGCCTACCTCCTGCCATATAGGGATTGGGCACCAAAAAGCTGAGATCTCCCTTAACAGTATTATAGCCTGATGACATTTGTTTCATCACCACATCCCAAAAGAAGTTGCAATTATAGGTATGTTTGCAAACACAGTGTGGTTCCCTGAAGAGATACCCAAGCTGGATTTGAATAAGCTAGTTCAGGTAGGACAAGCAATGTAGCATCATTACTACAGTAGTCTGGCAAGGCTATTATATCCTGCTTCTCCTTTTGATAGAATCATAGAAAATTAGGGTTGGAAAAGGTCTCAGGAGGTCATCTAGGCCAACCCGCTGCTTAGCAAGACCATCCCCAACTAGATCATCTCCAGCAAGGCTTTGTCTACCTGAGTCTTAAACTTCTAACGATGGAGATTCCACAACTTATCTGGGTAACCTGTTCCAGTGTTTTACTAACCTCCTAGTGGGAAGGTTCTTCCTAATATCTAACCTAAACTTCCTTTGCTGCAACTTGAAACCATTTCTCCTTGTTCATCGTCGGCCACCATTGAGAACAGTCTATTTCCATCCTCTTTGAAACCACTCTTCAGGTAGCTGAAGACTGCTATTAAGTATACTTCAGCTTTAGACATAGGCATGCTCTGACCACCATCCCACATGACCTTTACATTAATAAGCTGAAGACATGTGGCCTAGATAGAATTATCATTCTGTGGAAAGAGTAACTATAAATGGATTGCTGTCAGAATGGCAGGAAATTTCAAGTACGATTCCACAGGAGTCTATACTGGATTTGGTGCTGTTTGTATTGATGGCTGGTGGCCAGGAATAGAGAGCTTTTTGATCCAGTGGGCAGATGACACAAAACTGAGAAGAGTTGCAAATACTTCAGACGACTGGAATTCCAAAAGATCTTGATGTGTTGAAAAATGCGCTAGAGATAACAAAATAAAATTCAATAAAAATAAATGTGAGATGCTCTTTGCAGTGCAGTGCTGCTGTTAAAATAGAAAATGTACTTTTGGACTGCATTGACAAAAGTATTCTATGCAAGAGACACGAGGTGGTAGTAACACTGGTTACAGCTTAGCTGGAATATTGTGTACAGTTCTGGGTCCTGCAGTTTGAGAAGGATGTAAAGACTGACAATTGAGATAATCCAGGGAGGGTTTCAGGAGGCAGGTGACACAGATAATAAAAGGTCTGGAATTGAAACTGTGAGGAAAAGTTGAGCGCACCAAGTGATCCTTGATGTCCCTTCCAGCTCTGTGGTTCCATTATATGCACATTTTAAAGGCTGAAAAGCAAGGGATTCTGAAGCCAAGGCATTCTCAAATAGCAATACCAGTCTGTAAACATTGCCCCATCGCTGTTGTGATACTCAGCAATAGCAGAACACTGACCAGAGACATCCACCTAATGTGATAAACACATTGGCCTTTATTTGGAAAGGTGATGCAGGTCCATCAAGCTGTTATGGAGCTTGTGAGTATGGTACTCCCAATGGGAAATCTTTGTCTTTGGCATTTATTTACAAAATAAATATACTTGATCCCCTTTTGGGTTAGCAAAATGTTAGGTTAATTTATCCAGGCCTCGTGAAATCTGAATATTTTGGAATTTTCAGACATATTCAGTGGCTTGTGTTTGTCACCCCTAAAGTTATCTAGTTCTGGTGTCTAAGAGAGAGCAAGAGAAAGATGGACTGAATATTACCTCTTCACAGAAAGTTTGGAATTAAATGTATGCTGTATACAATGAATGGGGATACTGTTGTCATTTATGCCTCTTAAATTATTTTATTAATAACATAGTTAAGAAAAGTTATCTGTGGGAAAAACATGTATATGATAATGTAGTACTGGTAATTTTCAGAGCGATATCGGCTTAGTCTTGAAATATAATTTGGATTATCCAATATCTCCTAGGTTATTATTATCCTTAATATCAGTATTTTGTTTAAAACCAAAATAATTCCCAGGTATTGTTGGAAGAAATAACATGTAATGATACTGTGTACTGGGTCCAGCCAGCTGACTTTAAAGGGTGTGTTAATTGTTTTTCTAGGTCTGGCAATGTGGAGGCAGCGTTGAAGTTCTCCCTTGCTCTAGGATTGCCCATATCGAAAGAGCCCATAAGCCGTACACTGAAGACCTCACTGCCCACGTCCGAAGAAATGCATTGAGAGTAGCTGAAGTCTGGATGGATGAATTCAAAAGCCATGTTTACATGGCATGGAATATACCCCAAGAGGTGGGTTGCAAAGATCATTTTTACAATAGTATGTAAAAATATCCAGGTCTTAGTCTGAAATAGGAGCTTTAGTTAAGTGCTAAATTTAGCCACCCTTCTTTGTACAAAATTGCATCTTCATCCAGAAGACTAGTCCCATTGCCTTTAGGTTATTTATAAATGAATTTCTTATTCTGCTGTTTTCCATCTGTTCCTCAATCACCCTCCAGGACTCCTTGACACTGGTAAATACAGGAATGCTAGTGGTGAAGCTTTAAAATCGTATGTATAGCTCACTGATTAATACACTTTTTAGCTAAGTTAGAGTTAAGTGTTAATGTAGCATCTAAGAGAAGGAAAATTCCACGAGCTTTGCTGGAAACGTATTTTTCTGTTTCAAAAACCTGGTGTTATTCAGTGGGACTTCCTCAGCAGAGCTGGAAATCGTCATACAGGAGAAGTGAGTTTATGGCCCTAGATTTCTATGTGGAGAACAGATTCTTATTTACAAAAGCATAGGTAACACTTGGGAAAGAAAAAAAAAGCACTCCAAGCTAAAATTAGTTGAGTGTTCTTATACTTGTGCTCCATAGTCTTTAATCTGTGTGGTTTTGTCAAAAACATGCTGCTCTATTTCCATTTATTAAACAGGTAATAGAAAAGTTTTAAATCGTTTAGGAATTGTGGATAATATGTTGTTAGGCAAAGTCAGTTCATATCCCTGAAAATAGTTGAAAGTGTATATACCCCCATGCAGATATGTGAAAATCCTTCAAGGTCCAGATATCTATTTGGGATACATAAGTATTCCTGCCACAGACAAACTAAAATGTGTTCTGTTGGTGTCAAGGTGGTTGTATCAGTCTTGAATTGTATCACTCTCAATTTCCATAAAAGTAACTGTGAGCAAAGGTTGGTTTCTGATTCTAGGCTTTGTTGAGTTCTGCAAACGAATCTGCTATTTGCTTTGCTTGCATGCAGCTTTCTCCAGCTGTGTGCTGCCAAAGAAAATATCACAAAATGAACAAATGAACTTGGCAATTTATTTTATTTAATTTTATTTCTAATAAAAGCTCTCCCCAATCTCAGTGAACAATTTTGCAGCTGCAGTGAAATAGACATAATTTGTTGGTTGCAGTTTTTGTTCCTAAAGGAAAATGCTGCACATTGCCTATGGTAGTTTCACAAAACTACAAAAATAATTTTAGCAAGGAAACGGACACTTTCAGCTCCCTCTGAAGAGGAAAGTTCAAAAATAGTTGATGGTATAAAGGGATTTTAGGTTGATTGTTGCTAATAATGTTCTCCCAAGGATTGCAACCTTGATATAGTGGAGAGGTTTATGTGCTACCAATGACCTTAAGAATGATGCCATCTGGAGTTTGTACTCCTGGTAGGGTCACCCATGGTGGTAAGGTTGAGATCAAGATTTCAAAGAGTAGTAATAATCTAAAAATAAAAAATGTGCTCAACATCAGTGTGGGCAGATGAAGAAAGAATACTTCACAATGGCTGCAAAGATGGATGAAGGCTACCACAGAATAGAAACTTCCCATTGTCTAGGTTTTCCTTGCCATGAGATTAAAGTTGACTTCCTTCAAAGTATTGTGTGGTTGCTGATATGCATTGGCATCCCCTTATTAAAAGAAGACATACAGAAGCATCTTTCTTCAATAGCAAGCATCTTTCTTCAGCCTGGAATGCATACACCCTGATGGACAACCGTAACAGTGACTGATTGGAGTGAAGGATAGCACTTGTGCACAGAGAACGTATATGATTTAATATTTACATTGCTGTGCTTAGTGAGACCATACACGTAGGAAGGTGGCAGCTCAGAAAATAGTGGTGGCTGCACCTTGGAAAGGAACAGCAAAAAAAGACAGACACATCCACAGCACTAGTTTTGTTTTCAAGGCCAAATTTGTTCTCAGATGCTGGAATGTTTAGCTGGCACCAACGAGCATCTCATGACCCTTCATCATCAACTAACCAACAGATAACATGCAACAGTTTTCATCCCCAACCCTTGATGCAGTTGATGAAACAAGACTCCTTTTCTGAACTCAACTAAGTCCTGTCATCTGTCCCTAAAGAAGATAATTCTTCTTCGCTATTTCAATGTTAGAGTGGGCAGGGAGTCTGAGCTATGGAAAGGAACACTTGGAAAGCATGGGGTAGGGACATGATCTCATCATCACAAACTTCTTATTCTGCCAAAGCAACAAATGGAAGATACCATGGATGCACCCCTGCTCAGAACACTGGTACCTGATTAACAGCATCGTAGTGCATTCCCAGAAGTGTCATGTCCATATCACCAGACCTATGACCAGCACAGATGACTGCAGAATAGATCATTGGATACTAATGTCCATTTGTATCACCCAAAATGACCTAAACAAAATAAGCAGCCAAGGAAGAGATTTAATAGTCAGTACTTGAAAGACCCTACTAGAAATGATCATTGCCAACAGTGTTTCAGTGAGAAACTCTCGACAATATTGATCACTGGGAAAGCATCAAGAAATGCATCTGTGAGGTGTGCAAAGAATCTCTATATTTCTCCACAAAGAAACATTAGGAGTGGTTCAGAGAGAATGATAGAAAAATACAAGTTTGCACTGGCCAAAAAAGAGAGCCATCAAAGAATGCAGTTGGAAGAATGACATAACACTAAACTGAGACACAAAGAAAAAATTGAGAGAAGAAGAACAAGTGGTGGGAGAGCATAAGAAAAGACATTCAAAAGTTTGCCAACAGCCATGACATGCATAGTTCTTTCAGCACAATCAAAGCTATCTATGGGCCAAATTCACAAGAAGCCACCCCTTTGAGATTGAAGAATGGAACAACGCCTTTTAAAGACAGCTCCACCATCAACACATGGTGGAAGAAGCACTTTCAAGAGCTCCAGAACCAAGATCCTAACGTCAAAGATGATACCATTGAAACCATTTCACAACACCATTGCTTGCAGATCCAGCAACTTATCAAGAGGTCTTGAAGTTAATTAAGCAGATGAAGAGATCCAGAGCATGTAGTCCTGATAGAATACCAGTCAAAGTTTATAAGCAAGTTTGAAAAAAGCTCTCTCACTGACTACACATCATGAATAGATTCCCAATGACTTTTAGAAATGCCAGGTTCATTACTAAATTAAAAAAGGAGATAAATCAGATTGCAGCACTTATTGTGATATTGCACTCCTGTGTATAGCTGGGAAGATCCTGGCCTGCATTCTTCTCAGTATATTCATTTTCCTTGTTGAGGAGATTTTACCTAAGTCCTGATATGGGTTCAGTTCACACAGAGGTACAGTAGATCTGGTCACTGTTGTTAGACACCTGCAGAAGTGCCACGAACAATACAGGTCAAGATGAACAACATGGCCTTTATTGACCTGACTAAGGCCTTTGAGTCAATCAACAGGGAGGTCAAATGGATGATCCTAATGAGATTTGGTCTGCCAAAATTTGTTATCATTATCAGACTTCTTCATGATGACATGCCAGGAGCCATCCTAAACAATGGGTTGGAAAAGGACCCCCTCACTATTAGAGCTGGAGTCAAGTAAGGATGTGTGATTCCATCAATACTCTACCATTTATATTACAGCTATTCAAGCTATCATTGTTAATAGAGTTCCATCTGTAGTCAGCATCCAGTATCGGGCAACATATAGGGAGTGCACGTGGGTGCACATGCACCCCCTGAGCATGGCAATACACCCCCTACAAAAAGGCGCTGCTTACATTGTCAGTGGCATCTTGTGGGCGGTCCCTGCTCACCACCCCACTACTGCCACTGCTGGCAACATCTGCAGGCAGCCCACAACCCCTGCTGGCTGCTGCCGCCACTGGCGGCAGCGGCTGTGGGTGGTTGCCACCTCTTGGGTGGTGCTCACCCCACCCCCTGCCGATAGGACCAGCAGCATCTGCAGTAGCTCCCCCACTTGCCACCTCTGTGCCGCCCCCCAGCTGCCAAGGACATGCATCATTCATGTCCAGTATCATATGGACAAGAGTCTCTTTAATATCAACCAGCTATGTTCCAAATCCAAGACAACAAACACCTCTTTTACTGATCTTCAATTTTCTGATGATTGTCATGTGTGCCTACACAATTGAAGAGTTCCAGGTCACATGTATGAAATCCTTGGACTCTCTATTAACTTCACAGACACCAAGTTCCTTTAACAACCCTCCCCAAACCAATCAGCTCCTCCACATATTGTAATTAGAGGGCTGTCCTTGGAGAATATTGACCTGGATGACAGATTAGAAACAGTTAAAAGCTTTGGAACGTTAACATAGGCTATGTCTTTGGAACGTCCCCTATATAAAATGGAAGGAGAGAAGAATGAATGCCAGCATTCTGGTTCAAGCAGACATCACCAGCATTGAAACCATGTCCCTAGTGACACCATGATGTACAGCAAGGCATCGATCATTTTGAGCAAACTCACCTTACTATGGAGGCAGATGGATAAGAGAGACAAAGGGAAAGAACTGTGTCACAACATCACCAGGATCTACTCTTTCCTCCCGGAACTATTTGGAACACTGCAGTCGAACATGCAAATCTCAGATTGGCCTCCTCAGTCATCTACGAACTCACCAGTAACTTCCTTATTTACTGGAAGACTGTTGTCCCCCTATCAAGGGATTGCTGATGATAATTATGGTGACTTATGACCAGAAGATGTTGGTGGTCACTATAAGATAATTAAAAAAAAATATTAGCTACAACTAATATAAAAGGATAGTGTTTTACATCAAACCAAAGTTTCCTTTGATAATGGAGAGAGAGGGACTCAAGGGCCGGCATGGAAGCAGCATTATCCAGTACATCCCTTAAGTAATTATCTGTCCCTGTATGGAATTGTGCTCAAGCAGGAAATAAAACAGCAACGATGAATTTTCCCTATAGAGTAGCAAGATGGTGAGATGGTGGCTTCATTTAAAAATCACCAATTTTAATCATGATTTAATCAGCAAAAAGGAAACCTTGATTAAAATCATAGTTATTTAATCTTGTACCTTTTATGTAATTTCCTAAGGAAAGGTTGATTCTCATTAGTTGGTAACGGAAGAGATGAACCATCCTGCATTTACCCAAATGTTCTTGAGTTTTGGAACTGTATCCCTGTGTTCCTGAAGAGTCACTGAAAATAAACCCTTCATATCAAACTAGAAACATTGGGCAGTTCTGTTTTATGTGTTGAGAGGGTGCAACATCAAGCACTACCTGCTGCATGTGATTGTCGCTGTACTGTTCAAGAGATAGTTGTGGGCAAAGTTAATTGGCTCAGGCCCAGTGCTGCATTAATGTGGCTATACTAATTTAATTAGCTAGGAGAGAATGGAGCTGTTTAGCATTAAGGCAATTACACTAACCAGAATTGGAAATACTGTAAATTACTTTTGGTTCTGGGGCTTATAGGACATCTGGGATTGTCCTGGATTTTCCTCCCTGAAAGTTGGTCAGTAGTTAGCAGCTATTAAAATATGTTGATTTGCAACTAAATGTAGTACCTTTATGCAAAACTCAATTATTCTTTCTGCAAAAAAGGTGGAAATGCCATAGCTTTACATATTTAATTAAGCAGGTATTCAGTTTACTGTTTACTATACATGTTCATATTCTTTTTACTTTTTTTACATTAGAAATTGGTGAATAAGGCATATCTTATTTACTGGATGATGTATTTCTGCTCATGATTTGTGTATTTGAGTGGGAAATGAAATTCAGTTAAAACGCACAAAACCAGTTTTCTAAACTTGTTTATTAGTTTGATAAAATGACCTTAAATAGTGTGATGGGTCAGAAAAAAAGTAAGTTTATTAAAAATGTTTTGTTTTAAAATTGGTATATTAAACAAAAGAAGAATATCTTTAGTTAGTGAATTGAACTGCTTGTTTCAGGTCTCATACTGTCTTTCCAGGTTTTAGAGTTAGTAGATATCATTCTGTCACACCTTCTTTCTACTTATATTTTTGAAGATGGAAACAAGTTTTCCTGCTTTTCCATTTCTTGCTCAGTTTCTTAATTTTGAACAAAGTGGTATTTGAACCAAACTCGCTGAATAAAATGAAATGAAGAAAATGCTCACTGCATCTGAAAAAGAGGCTGCTGCTGTAACCTGATGGTTTAGAATTTCTCAAAAGTGTGGACAAAAGAACAAATTACGGGAAGTTAGAAAACACTTATTGTGCCTCGGCTGGTCTGTGGGAACTGTATATGTTCATTCTCCGCAGTAAGTAAAGGCTAAACCATGGCAGTTTAGCCCTCAGTGAAAGGAAGCTAAAGGGTAAGGGCTTGCCAACAGATGCAGCACATGAGCAGTAACATCTTGTCTCCCAGCATTATTACTGGCAAGAAGACTTTATATGTACATGGTCCATGACCAAATCAGTCAGTAAAGAAAACCAACGTTATTAGAGTGGGAGTTTTCCATTCTATATCAAATATCAAATGGGAAGGAGAAATGCAGTCTGATGTTTGTACATACAAAGTGCAAGTAAAGAGAATGAATGTCTACCTTAATGAAGCAACTTGAATTGACTGCTACAGTTGGGTAGTAAAGCCGATGGCCAAGTTTCTGTATCTGACTGAGTAGCATTAGTTCAGGTGCACCTTTCCTCAGTCTAAATCTTCTATCGGGGTGAAATATAAAATAGTGGCAATCTTCAAGCCAAAGAGAGTCTCAGAAAGTGGTAAAATGGGATGAAGTAGACACACAAAGTAGATTGTGGCAAAAACATAAATGGCCTGCTCAGATTTTTTTTTTAAATGGACTGCAACTATAATTATATTACTTGGAGGCTGATGCAATATTGGTGCAAAAGAAGAGGCCTGGAACCCATATAGTGGAGCTGAAACTTGTCCACTTGTAGCAGTGAGGGGTTGAACTGCTCCAACATGGGCAAGTGTTTAGTAGTACCTCTTTTTCCATGGAATAGTTCTCAGAGCTGCAGAATGCTCCTCAGTCAAATGTGTCCAATGATTTCAGAGCATCAGAGGCTCAATAAGAGAAGTGAGTTTGCCTCATTTGGCACCATGGCATAGCTGTTATCTTGGGATCTCTGTTTGTGGCTATATCTGAAGCATTGAAAGCTTTACTCAGGAGCTTGATACCATGGTGATGACTTCAGCTTAAATACCTACATAAATAAATGTGATAAAGCACTTTAAAACTGAAGCAGAGCTTTTAATGGATTAAGAGCAGGGATCCCTTAGAAAAAGGAATTCTTAGACCCCATCTACATGTTATGCTTAGGACATGATTGGCCACTTAATCATGCCTTAACCGGTTACCTGACCACATGTTCATTCAATTGATGGCATGATAAAAATAGAAATAAATTGCAAACTTATTTCACAAAATGTGGATAATCACTTTCTAGTTACTTCGTATCACATTATTAACTGAATGTGTGGCCAGGGGCTTCTGTGGCTGGGAGCCCCATCAGCTGATCAGAGGTCCTAGCTGGGGGGGGAGCCCATATGCACCCCTGAGCATGGGAGCTCCCAGTTGCAGGGGTGCATGAGCTTCCTCTGCACCAGCAATAATATGTGATCTATACAACTGTACTTCCTGCCATACATGTGTGGCATGGCAGGAGGTGCAAATGTGTGGATTGTACATTAGATCCCATCATGCTTTTATCTGTATGTGGAGAGGGGCCCTAAGAACCAGTAAATGGAGAAAAAAAAATGGGACGAGAAGGAGGGGCTTCAGAGATAAGGTAATTCATAGGATGGTAGGATCACTGAATGATTTTGTAAAACCAGTTGGCATTCCTTCAGCTTTTAGCGAACAGACCTCAACACGCAGAGGACACAATAGCAGTTGGCACTAACTGGCATCTTGGCAGGGAGTCTCATCAGAGATGAAGAATGAAAACAGAATGTCTTCCACAGATGTAAACAGTTGCCTCCATGTTAAATTCAAAACATATTCTTGGGGTCAAATGAGAAAATATACCCCACCATTGCCTACATGGCAGGACTTTAATTTACCTTCTGTGTACACACAAGCTACATACAATGGCTACACACAAGCTGGTCTTTCCTATACCCAAGCCAGGTGTTACATGTGAATGCATTTCCTTTGTAGTTGCTTATCAAGATCCAGTTGCATGTTTGTTGGTACCTGGTCCCATTGAGTACTCACATAGAATGCAGTCTGAAAAGCAGAAGGGGCTAGTATGCTAGTTCTCATGAAAAAGGAATGGGAATGTTGTGGAGCCCAGAAGAGGAGCAGCTGAGCCTTACTTCATAATATAATGAGGTTAATGGCTAGATCATCAGAGGCCACAGGGATAGCAGGTATACATAAAGATAGAGGTCAGGAAGGGAAATGTGTTCAGTGGAGTGTTGTGATCTGACAGTGAGAAAATAGGCTGGTGAGATCTCCCATAGTTTTGGAGGTCCACGAAGCATCCAAATGGAAGTTCTAAATGCTATCCCATGCAGTAAACCACTGTATACAGGAGATTTTTGTTGATCAGCTTCAGGTTGACTTGTAATTATTGAATGCTTGAGGTGGGGCTCTAAGGGGCTCTGGCCACTTTCTTGTAATTTATAATTTCCATAAGGAAAAACGACTTCTGTTAGAAACAGCTCGAGTTGGAACAGTTTATGGCAGGCCTCCAACAGGTCCAAAATATTTTGTTAATATACCTTTCTAATAGAAAGCCAAATTTACTTTAGTGCGAGTCAGGAAATGCCTTCATTATAAAGCACACTTGCTCCAGAATACTGTTAATTACACAAACAATGCATGATACAAAGTGCAGCTTGTGATTTAGCTCATAAAACTAGGCTTCTATAAAGCTATCCAGTGTGGGGGGAAAAAAATCATCATTTCCAATGTTATTTTAAAGTTTTGTTCTCAGTGGATGACAAAGACTTTGAGCATTTATGAATTCAGCTGAGGCTTCCTGATTAACCAAATAGATTGTAAGATTTCCCTGTGAAGATTATTTATACTATGTTTGGTTCTATTATATTGAGGTATGTGCAAGAACATAATTTACAGTAAAATGTCTCATTTTTCTTTCTGTCAGATAGCAGCTATAGATTTGCATTTAGACCCCTCTCTAAAAATTTCTGCTGCATGATTTTAATGGAATAAATTATTGATCTCTGGTTCAGAGTCTTTATGAAACTCATGTTTCACGAACTCCACAACACTGTCATACCAACTGAGGCCAGCCAAAAAAGCAGAAGATAATAAAAAAGGGGAGGGGAAGGTTTTGCAATATTGACTAAACTTGTTGTGATCGTATCAAATGGGTTGATTGATATTTCAGAAAGGTGATCAGGACACCTAACCTTCCCAATGGAACAACACAGCTGGACTACAAAAATGGTTAGAAAAATGGAATACGTTAATGAAAAGGCCACAATTGAACACCAACAATAAGATTGTTTCCATGGCAACAAACTACCTGATGCTAATTATTTTTGGATTTAGAAACTGCCTGGAAATTAGAGAGGACTAGGGAATCACAGTTACATTCATTAAGAGCTGTATCTAAAACCCATTGGCTTAAATGGGAGTTTTTGTACTGACCACAATGAGCTTTGAATCAGGCCATCAAACTGTGAGCTGTATTTATACTTCAGTGGTATGCATCCTTTTAAATGGAGCACTTGTTTAAATGTCTATTGACAACAGAACCACTTTATAGCAAGGTTGTTAATCAAGGAGAGATGCCATTGTTTTTTATTATGATTCTTCTTGACAGTGCACACAGAAGCAGGCAAAGTTTGGTTTTACATGTGTGAACAGTTTTATACTGGAAGAATTGCTTTTATGTTACTGTTTTTCTGACCCTTTATATATGTAGGATTCTGGAATTGACATTGGTGATATTTCCGAGAGGAAGGCCCTGAGGAAAAAGCTCCAATGCAAGACCTTCAGGTGGTATCTTGTTACCGTGTATCCGGAAATGAGGATGTACTCAGACATTATCGCCTATGGGGTGGTAAGAATCCTCTTTACCTTGATTGTTAAATAAAAGTAAAATAGTGAAAATATTTTTTTCAATAATGTATGGTTCCAGATAAAAGAACCAGGCCAATCTAGGAATCACTAGTTAAACTGATGGACTGGCTGGTTATTTGATAAACTACTGTGCTACAGTAGTTCATGCGAATACATTCCTGTATATTATTTTCTTTCCTGTTGTTCATCTAAGGTATTTCGTTAAAGTGTTGTATATACTTTATTAGAAGCTGTAGAGCTGTCAGCTGGAAAGTATTTGGTTTGTGTGTGCTTGGTTTTGCAAATGCAAGCTCCTTATTACAATAGCCAAATGTTGTATTTCCATTCTCAGATAGGCATGTCTGCACCTAGGGGTTATCATTGACATAGCTTACTATTTATCTTATGAAAGCACTTAGAACTCTAATTGAAATCGGGGCACAGTTGTCTTGGCAATGGACTGAAGCCAGTACTCAAGCCTCTCTTCATCTCCGTCTTTTCTTCATTTCTTCTCTTTACTTATTTCCTAAGCTTATAGTGGAGGAAAGGTTAAATAGGTGGCGGAAAATGCAAATGAGCTGCTAGCTCCAGTTTTGAAGACCAGAGTGAGCCCAGCACTAATCAGAGAGATCTCATTTTATTTGTTTTTGTGGATGGAGATTTTTTCCAGTATAAAAGTGCTGCTTTTATTATAACAGGAAATTGGAATCCACACATATTTCATTAATTGATCAGCTACAGACTCAGATGCTATCATGCCATGGTGTGACATTGTAACCCCAAGTATTTCTGTGCTGCAGCCTGAAGTTCGATGTAGAGATATCTGAATTATCTTTACAGCTGAGCTGCTTCAAATACTGGTAACAGCCTAGCTAAGGCTATAACAGAGCTCAGTGTGGTTTAGCTTGCCCTGCTTTTTGGCTAGGTTTCACAGTTGGCGTTGAACTCCATGTTACTGTGGCTAGAGTGTTTCTGGGACCTGAGCTAGCTTAAAGCTAGCATGAGAATCTAATCTACATCACAGTCCACAGTATAGACAGACCCATGTAAAGTACTTGAGCTAAGAAGTGAGCCATCTGTGATAGAACAGGATTAAGTACACCTGACCATGTGTACACATGCCAGCTACACAGATTTCAATTTTATGCTTTGTAACAACACTAATGTTATGCTAAACCATTTTATTTGAACTATCCACAGGGTACCCTATGCCACAACTTACAGAGTCAGTGTGATTTCATAATGCCACCAGTGTACACTGAGGCAGCAGTGGGTGGACTAATTGAAATGTTTCACATGGTTCAGATATGCACTGGCACTAAAGATGGAAGAAGACCTGTAGGAGAAATAAGGAAGCAAGGAGTAAAGTTAGTCAGGAAGACAGCAGACATTTATTCATTTAAGTGATATAACAAGCATAACAAGAACAGGAGCAAGCTTGAGCAATGCACAGAAAGGTAGAAGGAAGAGTAGTAAGGATGGATCAAACTGGCACGAGGTATCCAGCAGTTACAATGAGAAGAAAGATGTTTGTTTGGCTAAAGTACCTGACTAAAAAGAATAATCTAATGTTTAATTCCCAGTTTGGCCACCAATTTCCTGTGTGACCTTGGCAAATTCCCCTCTGTCCCTTGGTTCCCCATTTGTAACATGGGTATAAGAATACTTTCTTTCTCCCATTATTTCTGTATCAAGCTTTTCTTGGGCAAGGACTCTCTCACAGTGTAAGTTCAATGTCTAACACAATAGCGCTCTCAACCTGGTTGGGGGTCGCTGAGTGTAACTGCAGAATAAATAAAAATAATGTGTACCTTTTGACCTGTTCCTTTGATGGAAACAGTACTCTATCACATGACACTAGGGAAATGTCATTAAATAAACCAATTTGACCCAGTGTCTCTAAGAACTATAATTAAAAACATAAACCTTCTTTGCTTCATACTGTAAGAAATACATTATTTCAAGAAAGTGTAGCCCTCTCTGCTTTCCATGCATGTAACACAGAAGGTAACTCTAGGCCACCTACATTGTTGGTCAGTCACTTGTTTTAGTCTCTATCTCAGAGGATGAAGGTTCTCAGAAGTCCTTCAGAATGTAAATTGTGTATATTGCCAGTGAGGCACCCAACAAAGCTTTTCATCTTTTTTGAGAAGGAAAGCTCATTCAGAAGCTTAGATAAATTGTTCAAGGAAGCTTTTTGTTCTTTGTGCTTGCATGGATTGTGTTCTTCTGAACTTATCATTTGACAAGATCTTACTATGAAAATGTAAATAGTGGAGGTTGCCTTATGGTCATGTTTAATTAGCACCAGGACAATCATCTCCTAAAGTGAATAGAAGAAATATCAGAAAGCTCTTCTTTTTTTTCATTATATTTTTCAGTTTATTTTCTAAAGAAAGAATTAATATTCAAGGTGTAACATATATTTTAAAGGCAAGAAAGGAGAGGAATTTTCCCCCCCATGCATCTTAACTCACTTTACTGGCTGAATGTATGTGGATCTGCTAAGGTTATGTGCAAGTATGCCAGTTGTGAATGCCTTTTAAAGATTTGGCCCTGGAAGGGCTAATTTCTTCCTCAGTTGAATAGGACCCTATGCAGCCCTGCTGATGTCAGGGGGATTCTCATGGATAAAGGAAGAACTTGGCCAGCTGCATTTTTTTCAAATGCATTCTTATCCTCCCTTAGATGAGTGCCTTCAATGTGCCCATTGCCCTCACTCTGGTGATTATGATTTTATTTTTAAAAAAAAGGGGGTGGTACGATTGAATATAATTCTTGGTCTTCTAGTATAACACATATTTGTTTTCCTTTTCTCTGTATATATTGCAGCTGCAGAATTCCCTAAAAAGTGATTTGTGCCTTGATCAGGGGCCAGACACAGAAAATATTCCAATCATGTATATCTGCCATGGAATGACACCACAGGTTAGTATGACTAATGATCTCATATATTGCTGCTGCTCTTAGTGCACTGTGTAGGAGGAACCATATTGTAACTGTCAATGTTTTTCCAGCTACAGTACCTCCTTAGGCTGTTTATTAGCCATTTTATAGAAAATTGGAACATTATTTGTGCCATAATGTTGAGAATCACTGGTGTATTAATTAGTGCTTTGACAAGAAAGCTTATTTATTCATTTTGGAAGGGTATAAGCAACAAGAGGAAAGAATTAGAGCTACATTTACCAGGAATTGTTGGCATTAGCTTATAGTATTGATCTTTTTTTAACTGTGCCCCCCATATGACCGAACAGTATTTTTGGAGGCTTTCTATATATATTTAAAGCAATATTTTCTTATTTCAGTTGCTGTATTTACTATTTTATTCCATCAGATTTGAAATGTTTCAACCCTGTACTTCCATTTTCCTCACAGAATGGTAGTAAAAAAAAGTGAAAGCCTTTCATTAAAGGCTTTTCTTATAGTCCCTAATGCATGTTCATTATTTCAGTATGTGAAAAAGACTTAATTTATCAAAGTCACTGCATTTTCTTATGTGACTGCTGGATTTAATAACTAAACAAAGCAAGGGGGTTTACAATGTAGCCGTCCTTGCATGGCTAACAATCTGGGCATGAGTAAAAGCATTCTTAGGCAAGTTTGACAGCAAAAACTGTATGCTGCATAGTCCAAAAGGTACCTGTCAAAAGACAGACAATACAAATTACCTCAGATTGTGAGATAATTTTAACTAAAATGTGAAAAGGAAAGAAGTCCTATACATGAGGGTGATTGAAGGCATTTACTCTGTCCTTCCTGCTTTCCCAATTTGTACTTTTTTTCTAGTTGACAGTAACAATCAGTTGAACACTTTGTTGAAAAATTTGACTGTGATTTTTATGCAAGCATTGTACAAAAGAGCCTTCTTATCCTTCATTTAAATAAACATGGGGGATGTAGCATGAATTTGAATTGATTACCCAGGAAGGGAGGATCATAACACAGGTAAGGCGTAAACAAATGCACACCAAAAAGCAAACAGTGACCTTCCATACCTGTATACCTTACTGAGCTGGGAATTTAAACTTGATAAAATAGTGGGTCTGATTGTTTAATTCCTTACAAAGTGATATGCTCTGCATTTTCAGCTCTGCACTGCCTCTGTTACTGGGAGCTTTAATATTGATCATGAGTGGGATCATGCTTGAGTAAATTATGAATGATGAAGAGAAAAATATCTGAAAGTCCCATCTATCACATTCACTCACTGCACAAGCTGCAGCTTATTTTTCACATAATTATGCTGATAACAAGTGTTTGCCTCCAGGAGCTTTTTAAGCTGGTCCTCATTGTTAGCTAAGTAACTACCTATCTCCTGTGTAATTCATAAGTTTGCTACAGTCATTATTCTTCACCTTCTGGGAAGGTGCCATAATTCTCTTTGCCATATCATCTCTGATAACCACACTCTACATTCACTGTCATAAGTTCAAATTAAAAAAAATAATTGTAGTTAAGAGGCAAACAAGAAAAGAGCCCCTTTAATTAGCACCATTCAGTGTTCACCACCCATGAATGTCTGTTGAAGTTCTGCATAAAAGAGTCCATAGTAAAAAAAATTATATAGGCAAAGCAAGGGGTGGGGGTGGGTGGAGCATGACACTGCTGCTGCTGGATAGTTGGTTGGGGTGGGGCATGTGGGCCTTGCAGGGGATGGTGGTAGCCCCTGTGGGGGCCATTTCGCCCCTGTGTGTGGGCCGTAACCCCTGTGGGAGGGCAGCAAAATATATATTCATGTTTCATGAATTTATGTATACGTGTATTTAGAGTTCACTTTATTATTATGATAGAGACACCGGTAGGCTTCCACATTGCTTTAACACTGTAGATATATCAATAAAACATTGCCTAACTGATCGCTGTCTCTGTCTCGCGCGCGCGCTCTCTCTTTCTCTCTCTCTCTTTTTATATAGTGGTCTTTTGTTTTACTTGTGGAGGAACATGGATTTGGGGGTATTTTACAGAATGACTTTGGGATTTTTTTATCAGGGATTTTTCAGTTTTCCAATAGGGAACACCAGAATTCCTGCTAGAGAGGCCAATGGCAGGACCCTGCCTGCTCAGAGCTGGCACCTTGGATCCAGCTGGCTGTGGCTGACCTCCTGGCCAAATGGGGCCAAGAGACATGCTTTGACAGTTCAAAGCAGGCCACCACACCCAGAACATCTTCCGGGTGATAGCTGCCCAGATGGCTGGGCAGGGTCACACATGGCAGTAGTGCCACGGAGAGGCCAACCCTGCCACCACAGCCTACTGGCAGCTGGTCCAGAGGGGCAGATGCCTCTACTGGCTCTGCAGTCCTCATCCAGGTCTGGCCAGTGCACAGCAGATCACATCCAGGCAGCAGCCCCCCCTGCCAGACCCCTGCAGTGGATAGAGGGTGCAGGGAACTCTCAGGGCTGCTTCAGCAGGTCAGCTGGCACAAGGGGTAGTGTCCCCATGTACCAATTGGCTAGGCCTCAGAAGCTCCTGAAAGAGAGTAGCCCTGAGCTACTTGCCAGGGCAGCTTTTTGTACTGATAGCTTTTTGTACTGCAGATCCGGGAGGAGCCAGGCAGGGTTATTTTGCCCCCAAGTGGCACAAATTGCTCCACAACAAAGTGTATGTCCAAGCACATGTGCTGAAGCAAAAAGCCCCAGCTCGAATTTGCACCGCTTCTATTTGAGCTGCTGCAAGTGCACATGCTTGCATGTGTGGATGTGCCCTTGGTGTCCAGATGCTCAAGAATCTTGAAGAGATCATATTTAATGGGTACTGCTTCCTAAAATATCTATCTCACCAGGCCTTCTCTATTCTACAGTAATGCTACTACCTAAAACTGAACGGCAGTGGCTTCCCCAGCCACAGAAACTGCTTCTCTTCTCAATTGCATAGTGAGTGTTTCTCCCCACCCCCAGCAAGGGATATGGTCCTGTTCTTTGGATTTCTCAAGTATATTTTAATAAACTACTTACTGTCCTCATAATGGCCAGAAATTGACAGTGCCTTCATCCTCCTGCTTTGTGTGTGGCAAGTTAGGATGTACTTGATGTTTTGGGGCACTGTGTCTTATAGTTGTGGATGAGGGTTGCAGTTGTAAGAATAGGTTAGGCAAGGATGATCCTACTTTGATCAGGGAGGTGTACTAGATAACCTCCTGAGGTCCTCTCCAGTCCTACTTTGTAAGTCATATTGCTTTTTGCCTTAGAACAGCTGAGAGAGAAAAATGATGGTGGCCCAGCTTCCTTCTTTTTCCTCTAGCTCCTGGTTCTGTTTTCTGTGGCTTAAGGGAACAGGATAGGGAACTGAGGGAGGTGAGATCAGCATGGGAAAGGAGAGCAGTCTGTGATATGATGGTGGAGGGAAATGAAAAGAGAGGCAGGTGAAAGGCAAATTGATACTGAGGGAGTAGAAGGAGGAAAGGGAAGTGAAAGGTAGAAATAAGGGAAACATAAGAAATAAGCAGGGAAAACTCAGAACAGAAAGTTTGTATGTGTCTTCAAAGTGTTCTGGTATGCAGCTGAGTACAGCTGGACCAGCAGAGGCCTTATCTTGTTCCCACTGAAGTCAGTGGTAAAACGATAATGCCATAACACAGCATTAGATATTTCAAGTAAAGCTTATTTCTAGCACAGTGTCCTGATTTTGTGCTAAAACTTGAATCTTTCTTGTAGTTACAGTAAATACATGCACCACACACTCTGCTGCTTTCTCTGTGAATCCCTTGAGACTAAATATCTGTTCAGTCTTTCCATGACCTTGCCCCATGTTCTTTCAAGGAAAACTAATCACAGTACATTACTTGCACAAGAGCATGCCATTGAATCATAATTTGGAAAAGACTTTCCTCAGTAAGGGATGGAATACCATATCACTTGTAGCTGTATAACCATTGTATGTTCAATAAATGTCATTAGTTGGTGAGGTTTTGTCCTCAAAATTGAACAATTAAAAAGAAAGGGCATCATGTTTCCTCTCTTTCAACAATTTCTGGCTCATATTTGTCTTAATTTGGCTAAGTAGCTAGCCCAGGAACTCCTCCAGGGATGTGAAAGTCCCTAAAGCAATTAGAAGCTGAATTTAAAATCAGGAATTGAGGCACTTAAGTTAGAGAGGTGAATTTGGCAGACTACAAGGGAAAAAACATATGCAGGCAAGAACAGAGTTTGCTTTTCCAGTCCCTGGATGAGTAGTCTGTTGCATGGTGTCAGCTACAAATAACTGGCTAGATCTTCATCTGGTTTAAAATAGTATAACAGGTATTAAAATAAAACTATATCAGTAAGTAGAGTTTTTCCCATTCATGCGATCTGAGGGTCTAACCATGTTAAATCTTACACACTGAATAGATTTAGCAAAATAGTGCAGGGGGAGGGAGCAGGAGGTGGAGAGTTAACAAAGATTTACCTGAATCCAAAGGAGCTGTTTGGTTGGGCCGTTTTTACTTCCTTTTTAATTTGCTATTTATGGAAACACAAACTGTTTTTGGTCACTATAAGGCTCAAGGAACAGTTGTCTTCTTGCATGTATCTTGATCTGTGAATAAAGATATCTGCATATGAACAAGAGTGGTCACCAATCATTGTCATCCCATTGGGAAGCAGAAACAATACCATGTGACATATGTGTTCTCTCATGTACCACAAATTTCATACAGTGACTAGTCCAAGTAAACAGCTTATAAGCAACCCTGAAGGCAGAAAGTTGTTTCATATAAAATGTTCATCAAACAATTACACAGAGCAAATGACTTGGGAAAAATTGAAATCTGTTGGCAAATGATTTACAAACAGAAAGAAGGGCAAAATTTGTCAGATAATTTATTTTCAATGAATAATTTAGGCAGCTCTAAAACTGAGCAAATTTGATCTGGAGTTACTGAGAGACAATAAACATAAAAAGCCTACAAGGATGTTTTTATACAGCCTTACTTTTAATAAGTTTAT